CAAGACCCTGAAACCCGTCCCACAGCAACTTGGGCAGCCATGCTGCAAAATGGCGCCAACCATTGATTTGAACTTCAAGCCAAGTCCCATCCACCTGTTCACGCTGCCTCGTGACAGCAAGACTCTGCGGTTAATATATTCATCTCCGAACAAATGTTGTCAAATGGAAAGTGAGGGAGAAAATGTTCTTATGCTCCATTACTAGTTCCTTGACGTTCGAGTTAACAAGAACCAGCTCTTACTTACTCTATCCAAATCCTTTCTCAACACAGGCGCTTTTACAGATAAGAAATGCTTATTGGGAGAAATCTCTCAATACAAACACTCACTTTCATTGCCTATTTTAACCCCATTACACAAAATCATCTAATTTCTGACTAAAAGCCATTGGGTGTGCTTGTGCTACTGAATGAATAGTCCAAAGATGAGGTAAAGGGACTTCGATCCTTTTCAAATAACACAGCACAGATGGTTCAAAACTGGGAAAGGGGGAGAGAAGAGGACACATTAGTAAGGGGTTAAAATGGGAGGGGTGCTCTTAAAGGCACAGCACATACTTAACCTTCACATTTTTAGTATGTCTACGTGCCATGAGCATTTTCCTTTGTCCCTCATTCTCCATCTCTCTTTTCTCTTTTCTCTGTTCAAAACAACAGCCGTTTTGAGAGAATCGCTCTCCGTAACGGCAGAAAAAGGGAAGCCCACAAGGAAGTGCTGCTGTGCATTCCCTCCTCAATCCCCACCCCCTCTTCTCCTCTTCTCTTCTTATCTACTCTCTTTTTTCCTCCTCTCCTCCCTCTTCCTGCTCAGGCAAGCCCTGCAAGTAGGACGTCATATGACCAAACTGACAAGCATTTGACTGCACATTCTGAATCTGCAACCCTGCAAATGTGGGAATCAATCAAAAATGCATGTCTTGCAGCATAAAGAGAGACAGCATATGCAACACAGAGGGACAAAGAGAGGGAAAGAGCAAAAGAAAGAGACAGACAGAGCATAAGTGCAAGCCAGGAAAAGAAAAGGGAAAAAACAGCACGCAAGCAAGCACGCTGCTGGGAGAGAGAGAGTGAGGAAGAATGAGAACGAGGTTGCCTCGCGTGCAGCACCGTCAACGGCTTCTGAGAAACTGCACACAGGTGTTCCTGGCCCCCGATTGGTCGCACCTCCTTCTCCGTAAAAACCCCTCCCCCTGCCTTCTGTAGTACTACGATCACAAGCGGAGATGGAGAGAAAAGGACAGAGAGAAGAGGAGGGAGGGAGCCAGCGAGAGAACGAGTGAGGGAGAGAGAGGACAGATCAGGCAAGTGTGGCTTCAGACTGCCTGAGCATGCAATCGCAACACGCTCTTTTATTTACCCGGCCAAACGCTGTGATTCGATTCAAATCCGAAGCTCTCTTTTTTCCCCCCCTTTCTCGCTAAATCCACTTTGCAAAGGTCTGTTGAGACGTAGCTTCTTGCACAAATCCTTACTTGGGAGCTGCTTTTTCAAAACTGCTAATATTTCAAAGAGAAGATATCCTGCTGTAAGCCTGTAGTTTTTTCCTCCAGTTAAATCAACCAAAGAATTTGTTAGATACTGGGTGCATTACTTTGTATTTAAAGAAAAACAACAACCACCACATAAAACAGGCTATTTACAGCACTCCCCTGCAAGACAGCAGACAATCCATTTTTTGTTCTTTAAAATGATAAGTTTGTTCTAATTTAATCAAAGTAGGAGTGACAGCAAACATGGGCCATGGTAAATGTTATTGTCTAGCTTTCTCCAATTTTAAGCACCTGAAAGAAAAATCAGCAGAGTTTTACTGTACGGTTATAATACGGAACATCATGTGATCAAAAACATCCCAACAGGGAGAACCTACCAACGCTAGAGTTACACACACACACTTCAACAGGTCTTTCCGATCCTATTTATCAATTAACCTAAAGAAAGTTATAGTTCTACAGGCGTCAGTAACTCATTTTGTTTTTCCTACTACTCACAAACACACATAAAATCAGATGTGCAGCATTGTTTCAGACTGCCGTTTTGAAAATAATAATTCACTTTTCACAGTTTTTGTTTTGTTTTAATAGTATATTTAAAATACACATTTCGGTTGCAGTTCTATGCCAACAATTTATGAAATTGCATCATACTGGCCTCTTGCACTACTTCTCTCTGCTGCATTGTTTAGTACACAAAATATTTACCAGTGCCAAAATTTGTCAATATACATCCTTGTTCTGTTGCTATGAGAATTTTTTCAAGGCAGCAAAACGCATGTTGCTTTCTGGATCTTGATATATAGGTGTTTACAAGGGGAAGGGAACGTGCAGAGTTACATTTGGAAGAAGGGGGAAGGGCAATTGTTACACTTTTAACACCCGGTATTGTCATAAAGGTGTGGCTCTTCCCCCTTGTCTAAAAATCCCTCCTGCCTAAGAACTTCAAAAGTGGCCCATCAACCCATTGCAAATGGCCCCGTCACACCAATGCAACATTACATAAAGCAGGGAGAAACTCAAGGCGTGAGACATGGAGCCGCCCACACAGCTCTATGCACAAAACATTATGGCTTACTCACCACTACAACCTCTATGGTCTTCACTGTATTCTTTGCTCACATTTAACTTCAGTTTTACCAACAAATACCTTACTTTAAACAACCAGATAAAAATGCTCTTAATACCAGCTATTGGTGGCCTTGATGTTTTGACAAGCATTAAATATTTGCAACAATAAGATGTCTTCAACAAAATACATTTCTGATTTTATGTATGAGCACTTACATAAGACAGACCCCATGTTACCAAACACAAGGGGTGTGCACAATAGGAAAGGATCTGCTCTGACCCCCTACCCCTCCCCTCCCCTCCCCAAATCTTGTTACTTATCCTGCATTCACACTTCTCCAAACCAACAAATGAAACTTATAGCAGTTGAAAATGTGAATGCACAAATGTGTAAGAAAAAAAACTGATTTGGTCAGAGTAGCAATTTCACCAGCACATAAGCATACAAAACAAAGGGTCAAAGCAACATATATGCTGACTTGGGGGTGTGCATTGCTTTTTAAAGCCACACACCTCAGAGGCCAGCCCCACAATAAGGTTTATCAAGATGGCGACGAGTTAACAGTTCCACTCTAATTAACAGTTCTCATTCATTTTCCACAACTCTGTGTTTGTGTGTGTGTGTGTGTTCTGGTTACTTGGAATTTTTTTTAAAAATCAAAAGAACCACACAGCGTCTCACTAAGGCAGACTATACGAATTCTAAAATTAGCATACACACACAGGGGGAAAAAAGTCCCTTAAGTATAAACGTAAATGGCAAAATATGGGAGTTTAAGAGCAAAACGTGTTTTGGCTAAAATATATCACCTACCAATTATATCCAGGATCATCTCATGGATTAGTAAACTGTTTTACATGGCACTATCAAATGAACACGTATAGGATATGTATTTGCACCCATTCATATGAATATCCCAGTGCTTTCAAACGGAGCCTGCGACAGAGGGATACATTGTGCGCCATTTTCTCAATTGCTGACGTTGGTTAGCTACTCTTCACATTAATGGCGACCACGTGTCATACTATAAGTGTAACGTTGGCCTCCCAACACTAATCACAACGTAGCCTATGCCATCAAGGTCCATTTAAAACATATATTCGTTACACAATTTTTAAAAAGTGCGCTTGATCAGTATACATTTGGATACACATTCTGCGTCTGCGCCACACATATACACACACACACAAAAAATCAAAAACAGCTATTTTATACATATGGTGTAATATCAGGACTTCCGTAACTGTTGCAACGCATGTCATACGTTTTCTCACAACACGCCTATCTGCAGTAACTGATTTATAGCTAAAATACGTAAACATGGGGAACACAAACAAAGCGCTGGTTCAACTCTCCAATAAGCGGTCCCTCAAAACAACATAGGCAACATTTATAAACTGTACCTACCACACAATTTTCAAAACATATGAGAAAACGAGTTAAACATTACATTTAACATATATTATTTAGCACAAATCATTGTCCTCACATGATGCAACGTTTTAAAGCACTATACCCGCGAATTACGCCAGGTGTAGTTTGCACGTTTAAGAAAAATCCGTTTAGGGTGTAAAGGGGGAAGAAGGAGAGTTGATTTGGGTGTGGACGAAAGAGGGGAGACCTTTTTGTTCCACATTAACAGTCTTCTGCGCGCCATGCAAGCTCCCAGAGCACAGATAAATATATTTCTGAAGTTTATTTTAATTTCAAACAACAAACGTTGTGCCAAACATTCAGATTTACTCATAACTATTGTCAGTGATGCGGATAGATGATCGTTTAGGCAACAATTCTTTAAAACTGTCCAGTTTATGTTACACACATTGCTTTGTTTCTCCTGCTCTGACCTGAAGCGTCGTTCCATATGAAGTCTTTCCTTTAAATATCCGCACAAAAGTAACAGCAACGACGGTGTTCCAAAATAATAGCAGCTTCTAAACCACAGCGGGCTAGAAAACTAAATCTGAGTAGCATGAACAGTTTAAACGAATCCAGCACCGAGGCCTAGGCCTTGTAGTAGGCCGAGGCCTAATCAACACAGGGAACAAGTGATTGAAATGACACGGAGAACAGCATTGTATAATGTTTCACAAATATACACGCATTTGCCTAACGGATGAGACGAGTGTTATATAGCGCTGTAGTAACTATGTAACAGCACGTGGTGTAACGCTAAGAGCATATGCCACTTGAACACCCAAGCACTAGGCTATAACATCCATCACGTGAAGAGAAACAAAGAATATTCTCATATAGAAAGATATAGCCTACTCTCAAAAAGTACCCGCAACTTAACTGTTTCAATCAAACAGATCCACAATGTAAGCACACAGCGAGATCCTGGTGACAGTAGCCTACACATAGTTGTACTACCGCCACGACATACATTCAGCTTTTACATACAGTATGCAAACAATTGTTGAATGAGAAAGCAAATACCTCTGCTTTTTAGGGACAGAATGTTCGACCTCAATTCGTTTGCCGTGAAGTTCCACTTTACCTGAAAAAGGGAAACAAATTATTATTTTTCTATTTTTTTTTAACCAACTAACAAATGATGTCATGCACCAGCTTACTTAAAAGGCCCTCATAATCAAAGTCGACTTTAAAAAATACGTTGCATTAAAAGATTAAATGTGTGCCTTAAATATTTTTATATATACCCTATGCTTCGTTATAGCCTATTGTCTGTTACTTTCCTGTGTGAAGAGAACGGTATTTATTACTGTAGGCCTACAACTTGCATTGCGAATAGCCTAATGAGCGTTCGAGGTTGCAAAGGGTAGGCCTACGTGTTATTAAAAAGTAATTAAACAAATATTTTATTGTTTTTTGGTTGGCACTGGTTAAGTGACAGAATTCGTAGGACGCTTTCAAGGGTCACTGCTCAGGGCTACACAAACTATTTGCATCAACTGTGTATGACAGAATCCATAGGCTATGTGTAGCCTATTATCTGTCTAGTTGAGACCTAAGAGGTATATAGCGATTCAAAGAACAGCTGAAGATGAATTAATCTTGACCGTGACTTCTTGTGGTTGAAATAGTTTTAACTGGATCCTTATCGGCATGGCGACCTTCGTGCTATAGAGCACACGTCACATGCTACATATGTGGAGAAGCGAGGAGATACATATTTTGTGGACTGTAGGACAGATGCAGTGAAATTGTATTGTTGAAGTCAGCATACAAGAATGCTATAAGGTCGGATATATAAAAGACACGAAAGTATCCCTCAATATTGTGCCTGTTAACTGAATAGGGGCTTCAGGAAACATGTTACATTTTAGCTCCACTGGCCTATTAGCCAAAAGGGGGAGGGGTGAGACCTGATTCTATAGCTGTGCCGGGTAGGCTGGACTAAACCTAAAGACTGAGTTTAGGAGAACTACGTCCTACAGCTTACAACCACAACGACGCTAAATGTAGGCTAGTCTACAGTTCTTTATCAGGGTAAAATGTAAAGCACGTTTTAAACCTGTCAGAGCAAAAAAAGTAAGTCGTGGTTGATGTGTGCATGAATGCTTTCAGTGTCTGCAAACACTCTGCACTTAAAAAGTTCACTATCTCAGGCACCTTTGCACTATAGAGCCTTACATTGCCCTGACTTAAATGGCAAAACAGAAGCATCAATTCACTTTCACAATATTCTCGAAATCTTTAGTAAAACAGTAGAATTTGAATTATAAACAACCCAAACGCTCATGGGAGGTTAACAAGAGTCATTAAAGAAAGGCCCATTAAATTCAATTAACTCACCAGAAAATGTTTCAATCGCTTTCATTGCCCATTGGTCGTCCGGGCAATCAACAAACGCATAGCCAGTTTTCATGAGAAACTGTCCAGAGTATGGAATCTTGTAATCTTCAAAGGTTTTAACCAAGTCTTCTGCGGTCACGTTTTCATTGAGATTTCCAATATATAGCTTGTTCATCGTGGAAAGACTGTAATGCTCCCCCCAAAAAAATAGAAATGAAAATAAAACTTTCCGTCAAAACGTTCTTATTTTTGAAAAAGGACCAAGACACCCGCAGATATATAATATCGTGCAAATGTCAACCGGTTGGAATTAAAAACGTGTAGAGAGAAAAAAATAAAACAGCAAGACAATCCAAAATAAAAAGGGGAAAGTTCGACTAACAGTAACGTTGTAGTCTGATTAAGTCCTGCAGGCGAGTGGTAAATATTCTTCACTGTAGCAACCTTCGAATTCCCAGCACGCTGTAGAAATGATAACAGTTTGAATTAAGCTGATGTTTGTTACGATGGAATAGTGGTGCGAGTAGCCTATATATATAGCGGGATCGGGAGAAATTCTTTCCTCTCGCTGCCCCTCAACCTAAAGCTGTACCCTGCACTGTCACACGGATCCTACCGCTTGGCGATGGCACCGCCTCTAAAAACCGAGTCGAATTTACTAATTTTTTTTGTTTGCAAAGAAGAAACCACGTGGTCTCAGAGTAGCTAGAGAAAGGGGCCGGTCCTCCGCTCTCTCTCTCTCGTGCGCGCGCTCTCCCTCTCTCTCAAGCTGGCTGTGCTTGGAAAGACAGGAACATTCTCTGTACATTGCACCGTATATCCTCTCTGCATGCATTTCTTACAGATATACACACTAGCCCACACATGCTCCAGATTTACTTATGAGCTTTATGTCACGAGAACTGCTTTTCTTTTAACCTTTTGCTTCTACATTCATCAGAACTCTTCGGATTCCACTGAGACATAATTTGCAGGACAAAGGGCCATTTAGTGTAATTTTACATTTTGTGCGAGTTTATGTGCAAATAAAACCCCTATGTGATGTTGCTCGGCTAGCTTTGATAGTAGCCTAACCCTTTTCATACTCGCTTGCTAGTCTGCAGTCTCGTGACTGAAGTTGATCACGAAACACGTAGGCTATTTCTAATACTAAAACCAATAGCCTTTATGTACATGACATTGTTAGCTGTGGGTCACGACCAGGGCGGTGAAGTAAAATATTTAATTAGAGTAGTTTTACAACCAAAGTTTATGGCAAACATTTTTGAGGTGGAGTAAATTCGAAGCAGTAACAAACATATTCAATGCATGGTTTTATTGAAACACTGCTGTATCCTTTTTAATTCGGCTCTTGGGAACTTGGCCGAGCGGGTAACGCAGAATCCAGTTTTACTTAAACAGGTCAGCTCCAAAACTAGAGAGATACTCATTTCGACTGAGATCTCGAAAGTTCTCGTGCTCACCTCCATGTTGCGCCAAACCGAGACATTAGAAGGTCCAACAACTGATTCAAAATGGGGGTGTTGTTGAGACAGCAGGGCCTAGAGTCGAGGATACCGCCTACCAACAGGAAGCGAGCAACTGTTGCTTTACCTATTGTCTGTACTCTGTACACCCCGTGTATATGATGTCTCATTGCTAGGCTTTTTTCAGCTATATACTCAGGTCAGAAAAATCCGACCTCAAATCCCCATTCAAATGAGTTAAACGCAAATCAGATGGGAATTTCAAGCGGTTACTTTGTTACGTGTCTCTGAAATTGTACACGTGGCGGCAGTACCGGCTCACTGTGAGAAAATGGCTTCCCGTCCATTACAACAAGAATGATGAATGATTCACGTCTGGCAGGCAGTCTACAATAGTCCATAACTGGTGCATAATGACGAGTATTTTGACCAACACTGAAACAAGGAGCAGATTCTGCATAAAACCTTCTTCTGTCCCTCGAGCTACGCGCATGTTTAAATCACTCATGGCGTGGCCATTCCGTAAGGAAGCACGTACAACTTGGGCGCAAGGTTTCAAGGATGATTGCGATGAGTTGACAAAAGAGGCGAATTTGTATGCATGTCTGAACTGTTTAACACGTCTGTAGTGACTAGTGATATATCAGCGTTTTTATTGTCTGGATAAATAGCCTATGCCCTAATGCGCACACAAGAATCTCGCGCAAGCTTACCTGCAATCAATGTAAATAAAGACTGCATCGTGCAAAAATGTTCCAGATTATTATGCTCTCTATTTTTTATACGTAGCCAGCCTACATCCACCACAATTCATAAACGCACACGCTTTGTCGTGCATAGGGCCATGCTTCAGTCTATCAGCAAACGTATGTGAATTTTAACGGACTAAGCATTCAGCTACATATCATGCTGATGTCTCTGTTGTAACACCATCTGACATGCAAGGTAGAACTATTAATAAATATAGGGGTCACTCTTTTGATGGCCTCTGTCTAAACAGCTAGAAGCTGCATTTTTGTGGATGTACAGAGTTAGCTTTAAAGTTATTAGGTCAAATCCATGTGTTGGCCATTTTCTTTTAATTGCGACAGTAGCTAAGCAATACTGCAGTTATCATATCTTGCATTGCATATGGATTTCTTTTTATGGTCCTGTGTGTTACATTCTGCAAAGAGAAACTGTTGCAAGGGGGTGCAGTTTGTGGTCCTGTGAAGGAATTGGTGTGATTTGAGATTGTGACCTGACCACACACTGTGAGGGGGATGAGGGATGGCTGGTGTGGGGGTAGGGCATCTCTTTTCTGGGTGAGGGGGACCACAGGCATGGAGCTCATCCAGGACAAGGACTTTCGAGTTTGATGGTGCATCAATGAAAACTGTCTCTTGATATTCTTTACAAAATGCAGTTCATTTGACACAATTATTGTTTTATTTATAACAGCTGTTTTAAGGTATATGATCAAGTGCTTTGTTTTCACTTGCATCATGTTGTTCATAAAAACACTCTGGTTCTTGCTCTGAGGAACAACAAAGCATGGTGGGAAGGAAGTTCTGAAAAGAAGTATGACTAAGAATAGTGTGAATACCGGTATGTTTATTTACCATTTACATGTTATTCAACTGATTTCAGTAACTTTATGTTACTTTTTGGAGAAAGTAATGAGCAGTGTAACTTAATTTCATAAAGACACAAAATAATACATATACCAATAAATAAAGTTCAATGCGGAAAAAAAAGAAGAATTTAGTATTGGTTGTCTGATTGGCACATGCCTATAAGGAAACATGTCAAAGGAAGACTGTAGCTGGAAAACATAGACAGTTCATTATTATTTACGTTATCAGTGGAAATGTAATCAGCCTTTTTACGGAAAGAAAAAAGTAAGAAATGTTAAAAAAAAAGTTGCCCATAACCAATGGAAGACCTTGTGTCATTGAAAATGCAGTTTAGGGACAGAAATACAACATTATTGCATGTAACTACTTTCATTTTATTGCAGAATTATTATAAAATAAAATTAGTCTCAAAGTTTTTCTACAACCTAAAGTCGATCTTTTCTATCACAGGAAGGTCATATTTGTTCAACTCACATGATCAGCTGAAGACTTTTGCAGAAGAAGGTCTAACAGTGAAAGAAGTTTGAGACTTCATTACTTCATGGTTTCCCTGAATTTTTCCATAACTGTTTGGTTGCTTCTTTTGTTATCCATGCTTGCATCTATGCAGTTCTCCTCGTGGAAGAAAACGATAATAGATCATTATTAACTTTTCAGACTTTTTATCAATTATTAAATAGATTAAATGTAATAATACATTGATTGAAGAAGATATAGCTGCTTAACATAAATCATTTTAAATTGATCTGACTTTTGTAAATTGTAAATGAATAGCCTAATTACATTTTTGGAAAAATAACACATGGATAATAAATATTTTTTTGATGTGGAATATAGCCTAGTTTAAACCTATACTTCAAATTAAGCATTTAAAAAGAGATAATTTTATCCCTTTTAAATGTCTGAAATTGTAGTTAAAATTCATGCATGCTGTACAAATATTAATAAAAATGTTACAAAAAGTAATCAAAACATGAAGATTTCAGTCTTAGTTTAAGGAGTCATGACTGCACAAAAATAACAACAGCATCAAAGCTGATTCAAAGTTTTCAAAGTTTGAAATTAGGTTTTCTCTCTCTTGGAATAATACAAATAATGTTTTATATTTTAACAACTTGTTAGAAAGCAGATTGGATTATTTAAACACTTGATAAGAGTGATGTAATTTCTGCCCTCTTGGAGGAAGTTGAGAATGATTGGCAGTTCGCTTTCATTTCCCATGATGCCACTCAAATGATGTGAGACCCTCTCTGCTGTCTTAGCAATAACACAATATAATCTGGATTTGTAAAACCCTGTAAATCCAGCTTTATTAATCTAAGCAGTAAGCCACAATGAAGAAATACGTTTAGGTGTTGTTTCCAACTCCTAAAACAGTTTTGTAGCATATCTATACACTGTGAATTTAGAATTAATTGTTTCAAACGGTCTTCACTTTTATTTCTAAAATATGTATAAATAAATATCTAAAAATGTGCCCAGTTTTAGCCCATCTAAAGAGATTTAAAAAAAAAAAGAGATGTCTTTTAAACAGTAAGCAAATGTATATCCAATCCACAAAGAGACTTGTGGGTTCATAAAAATATGTTTGATTGAGAAAGCTGAGTGCAAATAAATGAATACTATTTATTTACATTATATTAAAAGCAGTTTCATTTTATATGCAATTTCAATGTTAAAAAAATGGAAGTATTAATATAATCCAACCCCTCACAAAAAAGCAAGTTTCTATAGTTTATTTTATTCTAATATAAATTTAATCTAATCTTACAATGAAATAAATCACTAAAGTTTGATCAAATAAGACATATTTTTCTAACAAATACACAGTGTGCAAGTTAAGAGTACAACAACATATTTGAAGCCTATAGGAAGAGTAATTTCCAACTACAACAAAGTAGTTTATAGCACAACATATAAGCAATTTTAACTATTTAAATATGTAGGCTAATTAACACGCACGTTTAAAATGAATAATTAGCACAATTAAAAATACCACTGCAAGTTTAATCATGCAAGCTTTTTTTGAAAAATAAAGCTTTGATAACAGGTTTAAAAACTGAGTGAATTTGACTTACAATAAGAAAGAAAGAAAGAAAGAAAGAAAGAAAGAAAGAAAGAAAGAAAGAAAGAAAGAAAGAAAGAAAGAAATGGAATGATCATCAGGTTCAATGCACGCGCTGTTGTTGAAGTACCTGACTGATTCATATCATCAGTTCCTCTACTGTGTTTAACTTCTCGAAGATAATACATTGAATATTCGATATCCGTTTTGTAACGACAAAGAAACAGTTTTAATGATCAGTAACTTGAAGCATATATGCGATTTCCCACAAAATGGAGAGGGTGGAGGGTGTGTCCAATCAGAACAGTGCTTGGCCTCTAAGCTGGTGACGTGCATAACACACCCCTGCGCGCGTGCAACGTGAACAACAATTACACTCAACACCAGTTTTTGTATTTCCTTCGTCCGTATAACTTAGCATATCATTCGGTTCACGTTTATCAAAGTATGTTTTTGTCAACAAATCTGAAGAAATTATACAGTACTACTGAGCATATGGACACAATAAGCAATTTTGCCCCTTTAATAAATGTCAAATGAGACTGATTTAGGCTACATGTAGCGAGAGCGCGAGCGTTGGAAAAAAAGCTTTCAACGTTGGTTGGCTCTCATATCAGAGATCTAATATAGTCTATCAACTGTTGTATCGACAGCTCTCCGTATAAATTTGTCAAAAAAACAAAGTATGTTTAACGCTCAAAACCGTAAATAGACCGATACCTATATGATTTTGGTGTTTGAAGTAGGCTATATGTTATGCCCACTAAGGCAATGACTTGCACGTGGCTGCTTCCACCAAGTGGGCATTTTGAGATAATGCAATTCCAAAAAACTGAGACTCTCAGATAATTGAACACTATAGAAAGTGTTCATTTAAAGTACACATTATCATGTATTTCTTGCAGTTGTTTACATGACCACATGAAGCTCCATTAACTGAATTAATTTATGATGAGACAATTCATGTAATCAGATTTCCAGCGAACAACAGTGACATTTTCTTTAGCAACATTATGGGAGAAAATCCCAAATGACTGATAAATAGGCTACTGTATAGGCTACGTCTTCGGTTACGAATCATAGTGAATTTCGTTGACTTGAAATTTTTGCCAGACTGATGTCACTTGCGATGTTAAAACGGTGTTGTTCACCAGACATTTCATTCATAATATGTCACTTATACGACAGTTGTGTTGCACAAGAGTTACACATAACTGATGCTCAAAGTTCGTGTAGGCTGTATTGAATTTATTTATATGGTCATGTGTACAAATGATAACTGACAAAGACATAGCGATTTAAAGAAATTTTACATAGCGATTTTCAACGCGAGAAAACAGAAAAAATAACTGAACCAACGAAGTAAATCGAAATATTGTGTTATACTGTTGTGAGCTTAATTCTTATATTATTTTCTAGCATAGCTACGCATTAGATTCGGAATCTTTTCACCATTGCTATTTGGGCTGCTCGAAGTACATGTTTAAAGACAACAAATAACAAAGACTAAAAAAGGATGAGTAGCCTATGGCATATTTAATAATAGCCTATAGGCTACATTGTGAGGTAAATAAGTCACGTTGGATTATCTTAACCCAGACCGTGAACAAGACCAATCAAATTGTTTCTTTTTAACGAGCTAATCAATTGTTTTGGAGGTGCAAAGTCAATCAGTTACAACAATCAAGACGTTTACCTCTTTATAATAATTTTATGAATTCAATAAACAGTTTGCTATAACGAAAAACTAGTCAAATAGAATTTGATGCAGTTAAATAAGTTTTCTAAAGTGAATAATTGATCTTAGAAAAATAAAGCGTTTTCATAAATGAACGAATAAGTGTAAAACTCAAACTGTTCACAGGGCATTTTCAGTGCAATATAGCCTACATGCTGTGGTTCAGATAACGCCTTATTATCGCACAAACAATTAATTGCCATAATTCTTTAAATGTACGAAGCATAAAAACCATAAAGACACCCCCAATATCTAACCTCACGACTTCCTCTGAGAACTTCCTTTATAACGGAACTGCTGTTTGTTAGTTAGGCTATGTGTGCCATAAAATTGGGGTTTTCCGCCCATCGCGAGGCCTTTTGTTGTCATGTTTAACTTTCTTATTGGTGTATCGCATGCGTTTGTTGTTGAAGCCATTGGTTCGTTTGCTTACAATTTCTGATTGCTTAAAACTACGCAGATAGTGACGTCATGAAACGTTAACTTTTATCGCCCCTCCCCATGGAGTTCCAATGTTGTCGTGGGAAAAGAAAAGTTAGTCACTATTCATGAGGCAGTAGCTAAATGTGGCAAAACCAAAGACACACACAATACATTACACTTATGATGTAGGCTATAGGTGAACGATTTAATATTGCCTATATAATTAAGATGAGTGACGTCATCACGAAAGCATATGTGGGTCTCCTTTTGAATGGAAACGAATTTAAAACCGAAGGAATTCAATTAAGGGCTGAAGGTCCACGGTGTCTGACATACGAATCTTGTAAACACAATGTGTTTCTGTTTACCAAAGATCTTTTGAGAACTAATAAGCTCAATTATTTAGCAACAGGAGTAGTAATCACAATTACTACACAACAAGTGTTCCTGTGTTCAGTTATGTGCATTACAACTTACAGTATTCATGCTAGAGAACAACTGCTTCACTTTCACAGTTCACTAGAAGAGATGTTTTACCAAGGAGGGCACAGCAAATTATTAAAGGAAAATTATAATTTTTTAAGAGTTTTTAAGTGATTACTCAGGAGATGCTGAAGATATATTTAAGAGCCGAACATTTCCACACTGTAAAAAAATAATTTACATGATTTGTCAAAAAATAACATTGAGTTTCTGTTGATTACACAAATCTTCTTCATTTTATTAACTAATTTTTTATTTATTTCAATGAACTTACAATTTTAAACAACCAGACAACTTACTTTTTAAGTTAAACCAACAATAATTTGTACAGTGACCAAGACAATTTTAATCTTAGTCAAACAGCTTGTCAAATCTGAAGCTGCTCTTATAGTCAAGAGTTTAATGTCTTCTGATGTATAATGGGGAGAGGATATAAAAACAGCATGGTGACATTTCAAACCACAACAGAGACAGTCTTTCTCAATTTTTTTTTTAATGCATTAGGCTACATTACATTGCACATATATTCACATAGGTTTACAAACTGATATAACTGATAACTGATAGATATAACTGTTTGACATAACTTCAGGATTCATATAAAGTTGTCTCTATAAAAGCACATCTAACAATTTAGCCAAACATCATCAAGAATTCAGAATTTTGGCAGTAATCCCAATCTTTCTCACGTGATAATCAATAATCAACAGGTTTTTCAATTCGAGCCAGTTGGATTGTGCTCTGTGGTGACAAAAACTACGCACGACTGCCCCCTAATGACCGCTCAACAATACTGTAGTAGTGGCCCCTGGACGAGGTAAGACGATTGTACTTACATTAAAAGTGCTCATTTATGGGATAATTTTTTTTTTTATATCGTAAGATTGCTGAGATTTTAAAAGAACATTAGGAATATTCTTGTGCCCTGAAACTAAAATGTAGTCTAACTCATTTTTTTGTGTTGATCTGATGTGCACTAAACAGATCACCTCAAGACATTTAAATTAAAATCCTAATTGTCCAAATCAGTCACAGTCCAAATTTTTTTTAGAACTATGAATACGTGAATATTTCCCCACAAAAAAACTTAGCATAAAGCTGATTGTTGATTGCTGATTGTGAAAGTTAAGAGCAAGGGATATTTCAACGTGCCATATTTGTGACCTAAAAACACCAAAACCTGATCAAAAATTTGAAACAAAATGCTGTGAGTTATTATATTATATAATTATATTATATATATTATGCTCACCAAGGCTGTATTTATTTAACCAGAAATATAGTAAAACAATAATATATTAAATATTATTACAATTAACTGTTTCAATATCTTGCAAAATGTAATGTATTCCTGTAATGGCAAAGCTGAATTATCAGCATCATTACTCATGATCCTTCAGAAATCCTTCTTATAGGATGATTTGCTGCTCAGGAAACATTTCTGATTATTATCAGTGTTGAAAACAGTTGTGCTGCTTAATATTTTTGTGGAAACCGTAATACAGTTTTTTTTGTGACCCCAAACGTTTGAGAATATATTTTTTATTTAATGTTAAATTCCTAACAGTTTAAATGTACTGTAATTACAGAGTGGTCTTTTTTTTTTTTTAAATTACTATGAAAATCCCACATAGTCAAATGAATCAGTTTGACCATAGAATGCATTTATTTTTATAACTTTTATAATTAAAGAAAGAAAAAAAAAACTCAGAAAATCTCAACATGTAAAATTAAGAGAATTATGAGTGAAATATCATGTGTGAAATATAATATACACTCCCTCTGCCATTTTGAATGATTAAAATAGTATGTCAAACAAACAAAAGCAATCAAAGAGAGGTAATCAGAATCAATTTTATATATATTTTTCCTTATAGTTGCAATTGATTGATACATTAATTATTTACATAATTCATTCTCAATTCGCTAACAAGGGAAAAGCATTAATACATCACAAAGTCAAACTCACAGTTAAGGAACTGTTTCCTGTTGCAGGGCGTTCTAGAAGAGACACATAGACTTAAGAGTCAAGCAACCTAACAGTGCTGTTTTATCAACATATGATGTCCTAGACCAGAATATATTCTCTCGCTCAAGAGAAATCAGAATGATAGCACATGCAAAAACCTCAGAACTGTACTTGGCCCAACTGAAAAAGTAAAACTTTGCTAAAGGAGTTTTTTTGTGTGTGTGGTTAATCACTCAGTATAGGTCTTAAATGTAGTCTGCTTTTCCATGGATAGAACGCGTTATAAATTTACATGTACACAGAAAAGTAAAGGCTGCCATTTTGGTTGCGTTCAGCATGCTGTGGGAAACTATATGCCTGCTATTTAAAGGGATGGATTTCAATAGATTGTTGCAAAATATTTCGGTGCACTCTCATGAAAACTAATCGGAGCATAGATAGAACCATGGTGTCAAGAAATGGTTGAATATGATCCAATTCCTCTTCTCCAAATCTGAACTAGGCAGCTTCATCCCGTTGCATATGATGACACAAGTGACCACAGTATCCCCGGTAAAGAGAAGGACAGTTGTAGCAGTATCGAGGGACACTTTGAGCAGAGGCTGGGGTGGAACTGCTGTGAAATTACAACAAAAAGCATGAAAAAGTATGTTTCTGTCTATTCAGGATTATTCCCAGAACAGAGGTCTCTTTTGACACTCAACAGCTTCACAATTAGACAGACTTAAGTTCACCAAACGAAACCGACACTCAAAAGGCAACCTTTCCCACGAGTGCTTGGCAGGCTGTTACTTTAACCAGTTCAATAGCATTTTAACAACATTGAACATTAAAATAAAAGTTCTCTATATAGTCATATGTACATTTCTTTAAAGTTGCATCCGTTTTTCTTGCTCTTAAAGTGTGGTGTTCAATTCATTAAGAATTTGTATCTCAATTTATGATCATACTATTTTTTTTAATGATTTCATTAGTGAAAAACAAACATTTTGATTAGACTATAAGGAAACAGTGGAACAAAAAAGAAATGTGTGCATTTGCAAGTAAACTGGTTTGTTTAAAGAGTGATTTTATTATCATGATGAATTATTTGTCTTCATACGACTTCTTTTTTTTTCTGTTTAGCTCTACAATGGATGCAGCAAGAGACAGAGAAAAATGGACTCGAAAGGTAGAGGCTGTGTTGACCTGCTGAGGAGCCGGCGTATACATCTCTGTCACTTACAAATGTACACACGCACGCATACATCTATATGCAAGGCCCTCATTCCCCCTCCTGCCCTGCCTGAACCTCTTCTCCATCAGGGAAAATTTTTTTTTTACAGCAAAACAAAAGGCAGTCATTGGCCAGCACACAAGGAGCAAGAGCAAAAATATTAACCAATCAGAAGAAACAGAATCTCTGTTCTCCGTGAGCAGATTCTCCAGGTTTTTTTTCCGGCTCTTCGTGCATCTGTGCTCACTTGAGGAGTCCGGAGCTGCAGGTAAAGGGAAACGATCTAACCTTTGCTCGCTTTGCACCCCTAGAGGGCACTCTAAGGCTGTGAGCTGCCTTGACTGTCCGGGTCGGTGCCGGACGAGCTGGTGTCCGAGTCAGAGTCGCCGTCGTTGTCCTCTGGCGGGCACTTTTCCCGCAATCGCCTCTGGATGGCTCTGAGACGGGTCAACAGACCCTGGTAGTCAAAACGACCTCTCTTCTCCCCAAAAGGATCCTGCAAGAAATGCATACATTTGACGGGGAACAAAAGGGAAGGAACAAAACGTTTAGGATATTAAACTACACTCAGGTGCCAACTATAAAGGTTTGTATATATATATATATATATATATATATATATATATACAGTGGGGCACCTGTTTGACCAGCCTTGTACAGGTCTACAATTTTATCTGATGTCCTTACACAGCTCTCTGGTCTTGGCCATTGTGGAGAGGTTGGAGTCCGTTTGACTGAGTGTGTGGACAGGTGTCTTTTATACAAGTAACGGGTTCAAACAGGTGCAGTTAATACAGGTAATGAGTGGAGAACAGGAGGGCTTCTTAAAGAGAAACTAACAGGTCTGTGAGAGCCGGAATTCTTACTGGTTGGTAGGTGATCAAATACTTATGTCATGCAATAAAATGCAAATGCTATGTAAGTGGGAAAACCTGCAAAATCGGCAGTGTATCAAATACTTGTTCTCCCCACTGTATATATATACACACCATAATTCAAAAGTTTGGGGTCAATGCTCCTATTTTTGGGAAAGAAATTAATACTTTTATTTATCAAGGACGCATTAAAGTGATCAAAAGTGCCAGTAAAGGCATTTTTAATTTGACAAATAATGCTGTTTAAAAAAAAAAAAGTTCTATTCATCAAAGAATCCTTAAAAAAAAAAATGGTAAAAAATATTAATCATGATAATAATATTAATCAGAAATGTCTCTTGATTTATTTATTTAAATAAATTTTTTTTAATATAATTTATTATTTTAATATAATTTATTGTTTAATACACACACTTCTTACCGATCCAAAACTATATAACTATATTATTTGTATAATATATATATATATATATATATATATATATATATATATATATATATATATATAAATAAATAAAACAGCACAAAACCATAACACTATAGAAAAAGTAAGCACAAATCAAACACAAGACAATACAATTTAACCACGGTCTGTACAACAGTTCCACAACAGTCGTGTGTGACATGACTACAAAATGCCTGAATACTGATTCATAGCAGGACAATTCACTTGAGGACAATAACAACTCTGGAAATCCCACAGAAATGGCTGCAGGCGAATGGAAGCTGCACTTAGTGATTCAGCTAAACTCAAGTACTCTTAACTAGGAGTTGTGGCAGTACGTCAGATTCTTTGTTCTTGTTGGTCTTCTGTAAATGCTGACATGAATGACTCACCACAGCTAATAGGAACATGTGTAATATCATATTCATAACACATGCATACGGTATCACATAAATGTTTGCATAAGGTTGTATTTCTAATGTTATGATGACAATCGAAATGACAAATCCACAACGTGAAAATGTAGCAAAGTACATTTACAAACAGTCATCACCTGCATGTTCTGCCCTTGGAGGTGCAGACGTTCTTTGCAGACCCCCTCATAGAAATCATAGTACTCCAGGAAGGACTTCTCCATCACGCTCCTAGGAACAGAAAAAACGATGCGTTTAATAAATAGTTGATCGGTCTGTGTTTTAACGCCATGCAAGCTTCCTTGGCTATTTTCATGGCGACTAAGTTATAAAAAAAACAATATAAGTTTAAAAAATGTGCTTTAGATAAAAACTCTAAAATGGATTCAGGGCTGACTATTTAAAAAAGACTTATGTTTTTTGTTTTTTTGATGAGTTATATAATTTCCTAAGAAAACTTAAACCATTTAATAAATTACAATACTAATAAATAGTACAGTACGGCCTACAAGCCTTTTTAGGACCATGATTATGCGAAATGGCTGAGGGATCATCACTCACCACAAGGCCTCGGGACACGGCACTTTACCCTCTAGCATATCGCACACAGCAACTCGCATGGTCTCGTGACGGATACACTCGTTGTAGTTTTTGCTGTCACCTGGGTGCCTTTCCTAGCAAACAGACGAATAAACCATAGCATTCACTGAACCAAATAAAGCACAGCACAGGGACCTTCTAAAGCAAGAATGTGGGAGCAGTCGTACCTGCTCAAAGCCTGGCTCATTGTGGTAAGGGTTCTCTGTCATTAGGGACTGTATGGATATGAGAACAGAGGAGATGCTCTGGGCGGGACTCCACGCTGGACCAGTCCAAGTGCTGTAGAAAGAAACAGCTAGGATCTGAGTAAAAGCCCATTCATACCAAGAACGATAACTATAAAGCTAACTATATTAGCGTCTACTAAGGGTAACAGTACATTGATATGGATCGATATTGAATAAATTACTAACACATATATATATGTAAAAAAACAACAACAATACCCATATATTTGTAAGAGACACCTTTACTGTATACACATAACCGCCAAAGCGCACATTCTTCTTTATACTCATCTGTACCGTCTGCATGTGTGCCAGATCAGGGGCGGCGTTTGCGTATGGTTGCCATACCCTAGCAGTCAGAGTTCAGATAAAACATCAGCTAATGATAATGCTCGGTAAAGATTTTAGGAGGGCTTTAACCCCCTAAATTTCCACCCAGTCCCCCCAAAAATGTGTGTTTCATTAATCACCTGTCACCTTTAAAAGTGTATAGGCTACTCCTTCCAGTATTATCTCCGCAGCGTCAGCGCCAGAACAAAAGCAGATGACGACAACGAACGTGTGTGCATTTATTGATAGATCGTTGATATATATGCATCTGTGTAGTTATTTGTTTGTCATAATAAATAAAGTTTACATAATATGATGCTGGAGCAGCAAATCAACACGGTTACCCACTGTAAAATCGGGCTTTATTTATTTATGAAATTCCTTTCATCCAAACGGCATAAGACTTTGTGGCTTTTCCTACTCTTGCTATAGCCTACTTCATACTTCCGTGCAATAAAATTGCTAAAAAAATATTATAATATTAATTTGATAATAAATCCGAAGGCAAAACACGCGTTAGGTCTATAAGTGACGTTCAAGATGAGCGCTGCTCTTATGATCTTAACGCCGACTTCTTTGATTGGTTGTAATGCTGTTCACTGTGAGTTTTAATTAATAGTGTAATAGAGTTACATAGTATAGTACATTGTGTTTAATTTGTCGTTTAACAAATACATTAGGGGGATCTAATGTATGTTGTTAGTGGCGAGAATATTCACGTGAATACATGCATAGATCCGACTTTTATTTCCATGTAGCTACTTAAATGGTCCAGTGGCAAAACTTTCGCCAAGCGTGTCAGAGGTTCTGGGTTCTATTCCGCACTAAGCAGTATAGTTTTTTTCCCCCCCTCATCAAAACCAATTGTTTATTAGTGGTTGTAGGCATGCAGGGACACGTTTTTTTTTGTGCATTATGTTTTGTGATTTCACCATAACGAATAGAGAGTCTCCACAACGGATTGAAGCGCGTCCGTGTGAAGACTGTGCGCGAGTCACAACAGAACAATATCCGTGCCACTGATGATAGCAGCGGCAACGAGCACTTTAGTGACTTGATTTAAAAAACAACACATTTCAGCACTAGATCGCCTTATTTAACAAACGAACGAAATAAATGCTCTATTAGAGTTAACTGGAGATGTTTTATTTATTTGTATTGGTACATGATCCGTGCCGTGAGATGTTTCAAAAGTGGTGGGGACACAATCGACCCTGGCAAAAAGTGATGGGGACATGTCCCACCCGCAAATTACGCCTATCTATGTATGCCCAGAGGGAATGCCATACTCTAGGTTTTTGTGAAATGCCGCCACTGTGCCAGATCGCAATGCAAAAACAAAGCAGTACTTACTAGTAACAGCCAAAAAACAGTCTCAAATAAAAAAATTGTTTTAACAGCTTTTAGGGCTGTCACGATTCTTCGATTACATTTGAGTAGTCGATTGCGATTTGTCCGTGTTTACATACATGCAGGTTACGTGTTTCTTCCAGCATCTCCGAGCGGCTCCGTTCACATTAAATGCCGCTCCACACAAACTCTCTGCATGTGCTGTTTATTTGGGTTTGCTTATAACGTTAATCTGGGAACGCAACATGTGCCATTTCACCAGACTTGTACCTTAAATAATTTATAAACCTGCGCCAACACAGGAGAATACTTCAATATTTTGTTCATCACAATTTCAATAAAACTTTAAACCCTCGCTCTGAGTTTGCATGTTTTGATGTCCACATGTCCCTGTTCAAGAAATTACAGTGGCTGTAGCATTTCTATCGTAAAGAAGTGGCCAAATATTAAAGATTAAGTGGACATTTGAATTAAATGTTGTTTGGCCAATTTTAAACATGGATTTGATCATGCTGTATGTGATGACACCAACAATCACCTTGGCAACCTTTGCAGGCATTTGTTATATGTAATGTATGTATTGTTTATATTATGTATAAATATATTACTGTTTATGTATATGAATTTTAACAGTGTTGTTTCAATAAAACCATATGATAACTTGCTTTTGACACTTTACTTGAACCAATTGTTATTGGCTCATTGTTATTACACCTATGCATTTTAAGTCATTTTAATGGATATTTCTGGTTATTACCCCAAAATGTATGATTTATCGATTAATCGTCAAAATAATCGACTGATTACCCAAATAATTGTTACACTAACAGCTTTATTTTTCTAAATTAATGTATTTTTCTGTACCTCATTTTTAATTCCTAATAAGGATTTTCACTAGAGTTTAGACATTGCACATTGTAGCACAAAAGCCTGAAAGACTTTCTTGACTGTTGTCATGTCATAAAACTGTTATCAGATTATTGAGCTCATGTGTGACTTGATTTTCTTTCTTTCATTATACAACTATTTCAAAAAATTAAAGTGTATTTTTGTTGTTGTTGTTGTGTAATCTATTGCAATTTTTTTTTGGTGTATCTGCAAATATGCATCACTGGTTAAGAGAATCAATATGAGATCGTATCGAGACGAAACGATTTAAACTATACAGTGTTTATATCGGCTGTAAAGATATTCCTCTGGAATTGATTCCAACGATAACTATATTAGCGTCCACACCACGCTGCGGTCTACCACTTTAAATGCTTCAGCTCTATCAGTCGGGTGGATTTTTGATTGGCTGTTAATGTTTTTATCGTTTATCAACTGGAAAAAAAGAACTCCAGTGATTCCAATGATATCGATCCTCTGTGTCATTATTGTTATAGTTATGGTGTGGACTTTCTTATACTCAAAGAATTAGAATGATTATCAAAACTTTATAGTTATAGTTATAGTTATAGTTCACACCGGTAACTTTATAGTTACCTTGGTGTGAACACTTTTAGTTTCAGAGTGAAGTAAGATATCTGTGAGAATCAATCAAAGCCTAAACAAGAAATGACTCTTACCCGAGGATGCTCAGGCAAACTTTGCCGTTGCGGTAGAAGTTGGGGTTGAAACGAACGGTGTTGTGCCCTGTAGTGATTAGTTTGACGCGTGGAGGGTGGATGGGATAGTCAGGGGGACAGCGGAACAGGAAGAGGAAGAAGCCACCCTCATATGGTGTGTCGAAGGGGCCGGTGATGAGGGCGTGAATCTGTGGAGACAGGAGGAGGCTTTATATGGGAGAATAACCACAGACATGCATTCAACTACAGCAATTTCCATGAATTTTTACAGCATTAATTAATTTAGGATAATTTCTAAATATACTATTGCTGTAAATAATACTTTAACAAATGTATATACACATATATATTAGTACATTACAGTTTAAAAGTTTGGGGTCTGTAAAGTTTTTAAAATGTTTCTTAAAGAAGTCTCTGTTATGCTCATAAAAGCTTCATTTATGTGATCAAAATACAGTAATATTTATAAAGGTTATTACAATTTACTTTTTTTTTTCAATTTGAATATAATTTAAACTAATTTATTCCTGTGAGGTCAAAGCTGAATTTTTAGCATCATTACTCACATGATCCTTGAGAAATCATTCTAATATGATGATTTGCTACTTAAGAAACATTTCTTATTATTATCATCAATGCTGAATACAGTTGTGCTGATTCCTATTTATGCGGAAACGGTGATGCATTTTTTTCAAGATTCTTTGATGAATATAAAGTTCAAAAGAACAGCATTTATTTGGACTATATTCCTTTTGTAACAATGTAGAAGAATTTACTTTAATGCATCTTTGCCGAATAAAAGTATATAAAAAAAAACAGTTAGAACACTAGTGTAAATGTAGAAATGAACATTAACCTAGAATAATAAATGCTGTAAAAGTATTGTTCATTGTTATTTCATGAAACCTAATGCACTAACTGTGCACGTGCAATCAAAGCCTTCTTTGTTCAGTAAGAATATAACAATAGAAGGAAGGATAGAGGGAGGGAACACAGATGTTGCTGAAATATCACCATAATTGTGAGGGACTTTTCCCTCACAATTATGGTGATATTTCAGCAACATCTGTTGCTGATGCTTACCTTGGTCATGTCGTGAGGATCAGGAACCACAAACATACCCGGAGGAGGTTCTTTATAGATGGACATGATGTCTCTAAAGGAAAAAAAAATGTGTTTAGAATCGTTAAAAACAGAGGCATCACTCACATGAAGAAATATCAGTGGCAGTGTGCGCCATTTTTGTCAAAGCTCAAGGAGGAAGCAGAAGCCACACAGTACACACACCCTGATCCTGCCAAGAAAATCCTCAGACCACTGAATGCCTGTAATACAGAGCCAAACTACACAAACACAACTGACTCATTGTAACTGAGCGTTTTCATTTTCGTGTCCACATTTCCATTATTAGTCCGCTGGGGACGTCTGATCAAGGCCAAAGTCACTGAGAGTGGCAACATTGTTGTGCCTTATAAAAGGCAGTCGCCTATGACAGGTTAATCTGCAGACACAATTGTAACATTTGGATGGAAGAGGTTTGAGAATGCCAGGCTAGTAGAGATTGACTGGTCATTAGTTTGAACAACATAAAGGCTATATATATATATATATACATATTACCAATAATCAATAACTAAAAAAAGGTTCTACTGATAGGAAACACCATCATTTGGTGGATGTCTGTTACCAAACTACACAATTACAGGACAGTGCCTTCATCAGAAAATAATAATGCTCACAGGTGAGTAAAGTAAGTGCATATTGTTAACAAACTTTGTATGCTTAATTCTCAAGCAAGAATTGCGTACCGAAGATGAAAACAAATTAAAACAACTTTGCATTCATGTAATGATGGTCGTTGTTTTTGGTTCAATATTAAATATTAATTAGACTACAAAAATATAAATCGGCTCATTCAGCATTCTGACATAGGCTACTTCCTTTCACCATATGATATGTTTGGCTTAGAAAGTAAATTCAACTGTTTGCACGCAGGCTAACTTTAAAAAGTTGTCTTACACTTCCCAAAACAAATACAGATCCTATAGGATAGTGCAAAATTACCTTTTTATCCGGAGTATACACTGCTGAGACGCCTTCTCGTTGTCCCAGTCGGTGCTTAACGTGGGATCCCAGGAGGTGGCGTGAATTTGGGATAGGAGGCCCGCTCCGGCCGGGACTCCTGATCCGATACCGGGCGGCAGGGATGGAGGAAGGGCCCCGGGGACCGTGGAGTCGAGCGCATGGGTCAGCAGACCGAGTCCGCTCTCCACGGCCGGACTGATGGTGTGCGGGATCCCGGGAGCGACCACGGACAGGCCGGTCTCTGCCAGAGGCGGGGGGGACGCTGATGAATGCCCCGGTACAGAATTACCCAAACTCGCGGAGAACTGCGCTCCGTGGCCCTGCACCGTCCCCACCGAACCGTTGGCCTTCTCCTCCCCAACGCTATCCGCCATCGTCGATGAGAGCGAAGCAGCCGCGAACTGTTTGATCAGCTGTCAGATCAGTCAGTTTCTTCTGCGGTTTCTGTTTCTCCTCGCTCGGAGGCAAGTGGAGGAGTGCAGGAAGAGAGAAATGACTCCTACATATTCTCCCGTTTCCCTCTACCGATCTCAACTAGAACACCCCGTGTCGACAGCAGCGCTGATTTTAATGTATCAGTCGAATTAGCTGAGCATTTAACATTCACATTAATGAATAACTGAGTTTAAGGTCTAAACGCACGTAAACGTAGTTTGCCCTCGCTCGGCCTGGCCTGTTTATCAATGTTGTTTCATTTCTCTTCACTTCCTTCTCATTCAAGAAGGAAGCAGCGCCATCTAGCGGTGCACTCCTGGAGGAGATTCGAGCTGAATGGGAGTTGTAAGGGATTTAAACGATTCTGGTTCCATTAAATACTCTTTTAGTGCATTTATTGAATACATATTTGGATAATATACATGTAAATTCATATTAAATTATATCTGGTTATAAGAAAACTCAAAATGTGTTTTAAAAGTTCAGTAAGCGAGTAGTAGACCTGGGAGTCGGACATTTTTGGTCGCACTGATTCGCTAAAATGAATCGTTTCATAAGAGTCATTCGTTAGGGAATCGGACTACATTGGTCACGCTGCATGTTTTTGATTCACTAAAAAAAGAACCGGCTCAGAACCGAGTCAATATTCGATCAGAGGCCGGACTTCTCAAAGAGGTGCTCACTGCAGAGAGGCAAATAAAAACCAGCACCCCCTCTCTGGACGGCATGGGTTGAACTTGACATTGACCTTGTCCAGCTCCATGAAAATGCACCACGGATTTACTACAAAAAAAAAAGACCAAAAACAACCACCTTGTATTGAGGTTAAACCATGGTTCTACACATTTACCACAGTTTAACTATAGTATTTAGTAAAACTGTGGTTTTACAAATGTTAATCAATCTGCCAAAAAAACAAAAACTATGGTTACTACACTTTTCCTATAATAAAACCATGTATAAATTTTGTAAGGGTTATGGGTAGTAGAGTTAGGATGTAGTTGGACCTTCTAGCTCCACCCACAGTGGAGAAATGGGACCTTCAATTGGTATGCACATTCTCTCTAACTGGTTCTCAGTTTGTGGTGCACTCATGTAAAACAAGTTAAAATCAATATTCTCATGTATAATAGAAAGGTTATCAGATTAATTAAATTGTAGTTGTGTTACAAAAATACATGACTGAAACCGTTGATCAAAGACGCATTACAGAAGCAAGTAGTACAAAAGCTCACAGAAGGCAACTATGCATAACACAAATTACACATTTCCCTCACCTCCACTAACTATGCTGGGGAAAAAACCCCACTTAAAGCAGCTTCGGTTGGGTTGTTAAACTTTTTCAGAAGCACTAACTCACGGGCCAAGCTGGTGCAGAGGTGGTTTAAACTGGGAAGCAGAACATTGTTAAACACTTGCCTATTTGTGTGCGTGTCTCAATATTGCATATAAGTAGGTTCATAGTGAGCTAGTAAATGATAGGTGCATAAATTGGAAACCTAAAACTTAATTTGAGGTACATTTAAATAAAATGTTAGTGCAATGTAAATCTCTACAAGGAGTCAGAAGATTTAGATTGAGTGACAAAGTCAGTCAACCCAAATCCAATATGGTTTTCAAAAAACACCAGGCTAGTCTACCTTCCCTCAGACTCTACATTCTTATAGCAGAAAACCACCCACAAAAGCAGACAGATTTCAACCATTTATTCAGATGGTCTTATGTGAAGGGAGTTCTTACATAAAACGTTCAGATAGAGAAAAACGGTACAGGGGAAACACAAAAAGGGAGAGTTTCTTGTAGTTTTGTTGGAATGGCGGTGCCACGGCCTAAGCTGCATGTCAGTTCCAATCTCCAGATCAAGGGAGTCGAACTGCTTTGAAGAAAAGACATCCAAATTACATGGCGAAAAGGATGAGGAATGCCACCATCAGACAGAACAGACCCATGGCCTCAGACAGAGCGAAGCCCAAAATGGCGTAGGAAAAGAGCTGCTGTTTCAGGGAGGGATTCCTGTAAAAGAAAACGTTATTAGGCACAAGCTACATGTATAACAAACCAATTTTAAGAGCCTAATTTTAAAGCTTGATTACCTGGCATAGCCAATAATAAGGCTGCCGAACACTGTCCCGATTCCAGCTCCGGATCCGGCCACACCCACCGTGGCAGCACCAGCACCAATGAACTTGGCCGCTGTGTCGATATCTCTGGATATAGCGCTGGTCTGGAAACCCCGGGTTAGGTTAAGAAGGGTTGCTTCGCTGACTGGCAACAGAGCTGCCTGAAAGGGAGGGCAAACAATTTAAGCATGTGCAAGAGAAGAGGCAAAGTACTCCAGAGCATTCACATAGAAGGCACTTTTTTATTTTTTACCTGTTCGGTTCTTGCTTCAGGTCTGTTGAACACGACTGAAACAGGCCGGGCCAAAACCCTGGATCCTCCACGGACCTAAAGGAAGAAAGAACAAAATTTCAGAATAAGAACTAATTTAACATCCATATGATGGCATATGCTTTCTATTACCAAAACATGTTTCAAATTCAAATATTTTATGACAGTGCAAGGATCCAGTGTACATTAATTTGACCAATTTAATTGAAATCAATCTCAAAACAATGGACACACACACAAAAAAAAGTATCTGTAATTTTCCTCTGCTCTAGCTTGTCTAATCTAGCTTTCGAATAAACCTGGTATCACACAGTATGAATATTGCTGGCTCTGTATGAGGAATTGCTTATGGTCCTCTGTTTTAAGTTGTTTTGGGTAAAAGTGAACATTTATTTGAACCATTTAAAATGCATGATTATAAACATGGTTAGAACTAATATAATTGCAGACAATCATTTCCATGGAAGAAAGAAAATACAAGACTCAAAAAAGAATGTCATCAAGGTAATTTTCTGAAACAGCCAATAGACTGTGACATTATTAGAGCTCGAATACATACCACAGCAGGTGAGGTGACAAACTTAGCACATGCGTACATGTTTGAAGCCTGTGGACAAGAAAGATGTTAGACAGGTGAAAGAAAAGAGCACCAGTGTCATCAACATACGATTTAATGCCATGCTGTGCATCACCCTCCCTAAAATTAAAGCATAGTGAAGCACAGAAGGCAACAAGAACCTGATGCACCAAGAGCGGTTTGTGGCATCAATACTGGAGTTATCAAAGATGATTATAACTCTTCTTGCAAATGAAGGGACTTCTGATTTAATTAAACCATCAGTGCATTTCCAACACCCCACAAACAGTTCAGAGAAAGCAAATATTAAATAAGCGTTTCATAATTTCTGTAGTACCCAAACGACAGATGGTCTTTAAGCATATAAGGGACCCAGACCTGCTTTGACAAGAAAACCTCCAGCCACAGTGGAGGCAAAACTTCCTTAGGCCGAGAGCACACCCCCTTTAAGTCAGTGGTCAAACATATGGCAGCATAAAGGTCATGTTGTACTACTGTACTGAAAACCGCCAACACAAGCTTTGAGGTATAGAGTCAGCCATTAAATCTGAGGTTATTAGAGCCTGATAAAACGGTCAACATTGTGACAAAAGCAGCAACTCCATCAAAATGATGTAACTTCTGTCTGCTGAGTGGAAGTTTATGCACGTTTGCTTAATTATAAATACTCATATTTACTTTGACTATTTTGACTTATTTCAGGTCACCTTTTGGACAACCGTTTGAACAGCCTGAGCACAATGCCCATGCTACTTGCCTACAAATACATAATCAAGTACAAAATGACTAATAATCGGGTCTAAGGTTAATTTAAGTTAAGGCGCAGAAAGCTCCCGCGGACGAGCTGGATAGTGAAGGTCACCAATAGCTTTGAATGGTACTTACTTGAAACAAACGCATATAACCGGCATTATAACATGGCAGCAGACAAACTGTAACTGAATGGCATTAAAGTATTAAAACCCTTGCGCTTGAAAGGCTGAGGCGCAGTGCGAGCTTTCAGGCTAATACGGGCCCAGCGCGAGTCAGACATTTTGCAAGTGTCACGAGCAATATGAGAATTAAACCTCCGTGCATTGAAAATGCAATAGTAAATCGTGAAGCGAAGGAGCTTTAGCGTTATTTACCAGTTGCTCTTCGGGTTAAGTTCTTCAGACTTGATCGCAGACTGACTCATTCATTCATTCGAAATGACTTTGACAAGCGGCTAACGAAGCATTAGCAACGCGCTTCACTGAACGGCACCGGAAAGCCGCAATTATTTTAGCCGGATCAGAAACTTCCGGACATTTTCCCATTTTTAATAAGCTAAGTTCCCCACTATGTGTCTTTAGATGAATGCAGAGATAACCTGACTTACCGATTAGATCCAGCACACAAGGGCCCGGGGTAACAGGGACAAGCTTACAGCTAAAGGCAATGAGTAGTACGCCGTGAAACTTGTCACCTTGTAATTTATAAGCTTCGGAACTACGTCCTCGTTTGTGATTGGGCAGAGCGTCAAAATTTCGTCCTCTGATTGGCTACGAGGCATGTCAATACATAATACGTACCCGATGATGTGCGTTGGCAAGAGGGCGGCCTCTCTGTGATTGGTTTAAACGATTTAAGGAAGAACGCCGGGAAGGTCAGGAATCGCATCCCGTGTCCCACGTTTCTATTGGATGCTTTGGGTGGAAATCCCGCCTTTTAGATTTTAGAGGACGGGGTGAACTGGAACACTGTATTAAATATGTAGACATTTGACATAACTCAGGGAAATGTGAGTTCTGTGGGTAGGAATACACAGTAGAACATGTCATGATATATTGTCAGAAATATAAAAGAGAAAGAAGACATTTGATCCAAAAATTAGGAGAGATGAAAATACGCTTTGATTTAATAGGTCTTCTGGGAAAATAGTCAAAACATAGGTGTTATAATGTATGGTTTCAATATCTTAGAGAAACTAATTTAAGTGAGAGGATATCGTTTTTTAAAATACAATAGTAGACATTCTGGTCCACACGCCATACCAGTTGGAGGCGGTGATGCACCAGTTCGTTGTTTGCTAACCGCCAAATAAACCCTAGAAGAAGAAGAAAATAATTGAATTTCAATAGCCGTTGAAAATCTCTAGAGGGCGATCTGTACCTTTCGAGTGAAATGTGATTAAGTAGCAGGGCAGAGCAGGGATAACTTTGCCCATTTTTACATTAAGAAATCTGTGTTTTTACAACCCTTAATCACGCCTTTTAAAGTTAGCTGGATTAAGCGATTTCTTAAAAACAACATCTATCTGGAATATTACGTTACCTCACTTTGTCTTTT